AAGTATCAGCAATGTTATCGGTCATGACATGGCATCTTGGCTTCAGTCACTTTTCCACTGCCATAACATAGCTTCCCTGTGCCTTTTTTATGAAAATTTTCATGGTAATTGTCCTGATGAATTTTCCTCTTTGGTACCTAGATTTTATGAATTTAAGCGCAGTACTAGATTGGCAGCAAGGTCTCAATTTTACAGTTAAAATGTTTAGATGTAACCATAAGTTCTATGTTAATAGTTTCTTCTTTGGCGTGTGTCTCTTGTGAAAGTCTTCCAGCTTCTTGTTTTCCTGTCAACTTTGATCATCAAAAATTTAAATGCAACATCAATTGTTATCTTGTATTCTTAATTCCCATTCTTTTATTATATTATCTCTTCTCAATGTTTCTCATATTGTTTCATACTCAGTAATCCCTCGCATCTTAGTAGCTTTTTATTGCTTTGTTTGGGGTGAAATGATTTAACCCCCCCCCCAAAAAAAAACAAACAAACCAGGAAACTGTAACAAATTAATTTAAACATTTTCATGCTTCCTTAGTGGAAAATGATTAATACTATTTCTATCTACCATGTCTATTCAGGACATTGGCAATCATGGCTTTCCAAAACTTCTTGTCCTTTGTAACTCAAAAAATTTTGTCTTTTTCCATCTCTCCCAAAACTTGCTGTGCCATCCATTCGCTCTAGCTTACCAGGTAGGTTATGTGTTATTTTCCTCTGTCTTGCTTTTGATCTGTCATGTGAGTTTCAAATTTTGCTAGCCTTCTTTCCTCATTATGTGCACTAGAAATTTCAACTATCTCTTTTCAGATGTTAAAAATAAGTGTCCTTTTGTTTTCAATGTTTCTAGAACATAGTCATTGTTCACATATTCCGTCCATCCTTCTGTAGACCCACATTTCTATTGCTTCAAGTCTCTTCATCTGTGAGGAGATTGACCAATATTCACTGCTATATAGGAGGACTGATATTACATAACAGTCTAGTACTTTTTTTGTTTTTAACAAAATTTGTCTACCTCACATCTTTCAGATTTCAAAATGCTTAAAGATCAACCAGTGTGTGTATGAGTGTGTGGATATATCTATAAAGTAATGATTTTTTTTTTTTACTCCAATAGATTAAATAAGTGAAAAATACCATTATTATTAGTAGTACTAGTATAGAGAGAATTCATAAATAGAATCTAATTAAGATGTAAGGTTTAACCTTTTTATAATCATAATCTGGAAAGAAGTTAAATATTTTCCTGTTTTTAGTTTGACAAACTAATTTTTCCTATTCATCATATTTATAGCTAATTATGTTTATAGAAGGTACAACTTTTTAGATACATAATTTCTAAAAGGTGCTGATGACAAATTACCATTATTAAATTTGAAACCACATCTTTATTTATATATTATGTATAATTACCTTATTACATTTGTAAACTCTCTTGACTAGTGTTCTAATTCTATGTGCTGTGTCCCTTCAGGACATAAGAAGTTGTGGAGAGCCATGATCGCCTATCTTGTGTGGGTATTAGTAGTTTTTCTCCCTTTCCTAAGCACCTCTCCCCATTGCTTCCTCCATTCACACAAGCTTGTCAAGTAAGTGGCTTGGTGCCTAACCCTATCATGCCCTTCAATATGTCCATGAGTTTTTCCAAGCTACATGTTCATAAAAATAATGTTTTAAATATCAGCATAATCATAAAAAGTAGCATTTTGGAATTTATTTTTCCCAATTAGCTTTCCTTTTTTGTGTGTAATGTATCATTTTTTTTGTTTCCACATTTAAAACTAAATTATTCAGAATGATTTAAGTCTTTCAAACAATTTCTTCATTTGAATGAATGAAGATAAATGATATAATTGATAATAATTTATAAAAATTACAAGTGGCCATTTTAAAAAATGAAAAAGTAAATACAAATTAATAGAAAAAAACCTAAAGTAAAACAAGGGAAAAAAGAAAAAATGAAGTCACAAGGTTTTATCTCTCAGTAAATTTATTTTGGGGATTTGTGGGTAGAGTAATAATGATTGGTACAGAAACCAAATTCAAATTCTCATCAAGTCTGTTGCATTCACTTTTGCCCAAATGCTCTTGGCATGGACAAGAATCCACCTCTTCTCTCCCCCCCCAGCAATGGATTAAATAATAAGGTAGACTAAACTCTCTTGAGTGGCAGCCAGTTTATAAGGCAATGGGAAACTTATCCATTATATTTCCCAATAAGTCATAATAATTCATAGATAAAGAAACAATTTGTGAATAGTCATGAACCCCAGATACCCTGAAGAGACATGGCAAAATGTGTTTCTTTTGAGAATGAGGAAGAAGATCTGTTAAGAGTTTCTATACACACACAGCCATACACACACAGTATCTGAAGTTCATAAAAACAATGTGTACCAAATACGGAAATGATGCAACTGTTGTCAGTATTCATGACAAAATGAAGAAAATAAAATTATTTTAAGAACCACAGAAGAGTTTGGAAGAGAACTTAATAAAAAACAAATGCTGCAGATGTTGAACCATTTAGTTACTTGGAATTAAAATTTAACATACTTGATTCAGAGTCAAACCTGCATACTATCCACAAAAGTACCACAAAGTCTGTTGGTTAGGACTAAAAACTCTTAAAAACAATGATAGAAATACTTAAATTACTCAAAACACTCCTAAAACTGAGATTAAAAAAAAAAAAAAAAAAATCAGATAGATAGCCTAGAAGCATTGTAAAATTCACTACAATCAGAAAATTATATTTCAGAGCACACACTTCATTATGACATTGGCCATCAGCTGTAATAATAAAACCTAACACCATCCCACTATCTCTAACAGCATAAGCTATATATTAAAAAAAATGTCAAGAACTGGTGTGACCAGGGAGTAAAATGTCTCAAAGTTTCCCTTCTCAAAGACAATCTCAAGTTTATAAATAGATTAATTTTTAGATATAAAGGAGTAATTTACAGATTGATTTCAATATTATTTAAATTAAACAGGATTTAAATATTGTTTACTTTTGTGAGTCAAAGGGACGTAACTCTGTTTCCAAAGAATAGAGTGATACAATTCTAAAGTATTCTGAGAAAAACTTGTCTACAGTTAAGCAAAGCTGAAAACTCTTAAGTTAAGCAATGTCAAACCTGGTCAGTATTTAAATGGGTTAAATGCCCAGGTATACCAGGTGCTGCAAGCAGATACTCAGCTGGTTGGTGCACTGACAAAACTCCTCAATGGACACAAGACTGAACCAGTGCACCAATTTTGTGTCTGCTGTGTTTGCAATGATTTGAGGACCACACCACCAGAGTCATCTACCAGTTCTCGCTGTCATCTGCAGAGAGCCTTGTGGCAGACCATGCAGCCACTGGAAGGATTTTGCCTTCCAGGATGTTCAGCAGATCAATCTGATGCTGAAAAATGTTCCAACACTTTGTTAAGGCTGTGAGAGCTGTAGGGACAAGGTGGCTCTTGTGGGCTTGACAGCTTTATGGCATGAAACTTACCAGCAGCATAGTATATTAAGGATTTTGATCACCCTGAGAAAACTAACTTGAAATTATTAGGAAAACATAAAAAAGTATCACTTCAGGGAATCTTAAAACCAATCCCCTGTGGATACAGAGACAAGACTCTACATTATTTCAAATGCACCAAATAACTGTAAGATAAAACAGATCAGATATAGAATTAAATTATAACAATTTAATAAACTTTTACAAACCAAAGATTGTAGATATTTGCAAATCTTAGACTGATAAAGAAAGTTTGCCAAAAGGGGCAAATTTTGAAAGCCTAGTGTGACTACATTTTGTATTTTACTCCTTGTGATTTCCTGAGCTACTTTTGAAATAAGATGAACTGAATTATGTTACTCGTAAGAGAATTGATTCAAAATTTATTAGTACAGGGCTTTTAAATATAGCCTATTTTGGTAAGCCTGTTTCAAGAACATAATTGTGGGAAATTCAATGAGAATTGAATTTACAAACAATGACCTACAATTATTTACACTTACAATTAGACTAATGTCCTCATCTTTGTTGTTATGATCACTATATTTCATCATTTATGCCCTCCAGTCTGCTCCTGATGTTTATTAATCTAAGTAATCTTCAGGGAATTTTTAAGCTAAACTATTTTTTTTCAATCTATGTCTTGGGATATTTCATCTTGATTAATTGTTCTGTTATTGCTAATCTTGTTCTACTGTGTCTGAGTATTGTGTATATATTGTGACTGAAGCAAAAAAAGATGAAGATATTGGTCCAACTGTAAATAATGGTAAATCCTCATCCCAGAAATTCAGACAGAAATTGCCTATTAGTCTGATAATCATTCTCTGGTTTGTATGATGTTTCAAACAGATACAAAAAAAAATGTAGATGAAAATATGATATTGCCAAAGGCAATAAACAGGCTACTGCCATGGTTTCCATAAGTAGGTTTTTATGGGGTGAGTTGCTACACCCATGACCAACCAATCTTGTACACAGAGTTATATTTATCCTCAACTGATTGTCAACAAAGGATAGAGAGCTTATTCTATTCTGCTATTTAACCCATAGCTGGAAGTGAGAACAGATGAATTCATACCTTTCACAAGGGCATTTGTATTAAAGTGAACACAATGGCCTTAGCTAGAATTTGAATTTGGTTTAATGACCCCACTTTCTGTGCCAATAAACACGATGATGCATGCACCTGGCTCGAGAAAAAATAAAATATAATAATTGTATGTGAGAGTTTTATTCATCATAACTGGCACACTTGGAAGAGACCCAAAAACCCTTGAAAGAATGTAAAATCTGAGGAAGAATTTAAACCATCCAAATGACAGCATGACTAAAATCAGCAAGAATACAAAGCGAGAACAGGAATGCTGTAGTAACTTGCTGTCACTTTATCTTGAGTGACAGTCACCGGTTATTATATGTGTATAAATAATAAAGTGTTCAAGCATTTAAAATAAAAAATATTCCATGGAAAAATTGGCTCACCTCATCTTGACGCTCCTGTATGATTCGGCGTTCAGTACAACTCACATCATCAGGAAGCACATAAAAATCCGAGAAGTCACCATCATCTTCCAACTGACCACCAGAAAGTACCCTGTAAAAAGATGGAAATTAAACAAATTACTTTTACAGCATGGAAGACACTTTCTATATGACATAGTATTGAAAAGTACCTGGACTTTGACTACCTTCAATCCTTGGCAATGTTTATTGCTAAAATGCAATCATTAGAATTGTAATAAGACCTAAACTTATGAAAGTGAATTTATAAAAATATTAAACACTACTTATTAGATTGTTTATTTGAGGAGTGAAAGTAGTTAAAATAATAGTGATGTCAATAAAAAAAAAGAAAATTTTTCTGACACTTCAATTTTTGCGGGTACGAAAGTCAAAGTTTGTCAAGATTTTTCTTTTAAATTTACCACCTGCTTTGTTTTTGTGTTATCAAAATCTTTTTGAGAGTCAATCGATAATTGCATGTCATGTTACAACTTCACTCAGAATGGCCTGAAATTGTAATATGCAAGAGAATTCAACTTCTAAAGACACACCCCCTCATGATCCTTTTGTTATATTATGAAAATCAGTAGATCTTAGAAATGGTGTATAAATCTCATTCTAGGTAATAAAAAAAAAAAAAAATCAGTACTGTTAAATGACTAATAAACTGACAGCCAAAGTATTGAAGCTGTACTAAATTATAAGTTAGTCAGCAGCTGAGGAAGAGAAGATAATCATTACAATAGATGGGTATGTTCTGGAGATCTAATCAATGAAATTGATGGTATCCACCTCTCTTGGACTGCACTTTGATCATTTTAGTTATTTTTATGTTAAAGTGCTTAGAAATATTTTCTCATGGATTTAATTAAATTTTAAGACCAAAAACGAAGGAGCCATAATTGAAGAATTTATCAATTATCACTCAGTAAAATATCAATGCACATTATTATTAACAGAAATCTTACAAATAAAAGAAATAAGCCAAGAATTAATATAGATGCACTTACCTGATATTAGAACGATTCTGTAAATTTAAAGCTTCCATGGCATTACCCACTTGTTCAACACCATCTACAGAAAAAAGGCAAATAACTTTGTTTTATGCATTTTCTTTTAACACAACTAAAAAAACACCATGAACATATATCATAAATACAATAATGAAGTAGGAAAAAGTATTTTATATATATATATTATATATATATATATATAAAACAGAGCAGATCACCCATCTAGATAATGAGCAGGCTCAACATTGCTTAACTTCAATGAATAGATAGGAACCAATGTTTCAACACGATATAGGTGTAAACCTGCGGTTTCTATAGAAATATCTTTTTGCTTACTTATAAAGCAAAAGTTGTGGTAGAATTAATTTAATTCTAATTAAGATTCATTAATTAAAAATAATGAAAAAGATTTTACAAGGTAAGTACCCTAGAAGTGAGAATATATATTAAAATAAATAGAGACCCATTGTTTTAAATATATCATTCATGATAAGGGTCCCTTAGTGCTAGCTAGGTTGAATTGGAAAGTTCAAAGGGTTGTTTATGTTAGCACACCTGCATGTCATGAACTTACAAAGACAGGGTTTGAAGTTAATAGGCATTATTTGATTGGTTGGCCAATCGGAGGATAGTTAGTCCCAGGTTTTTAGGTGAAGAAAGTTAATTTTGTCATAACTGAGTTCTGGATGGTAGAAAAAAAAAGATCTAATAAAAGTCTTGGTCCTCAACTACAGTTGATTGCTGTAGGTTGGGCAAGGTTGGGGGGGTTATTGTGCCAGTTGAGCAGGAAATGAGAAATTAGGGTTGTACTTCACAATTTCAAAGTTGGGTTATGACTCTTTAATAAATCTATTACTTTTGTATCAGAATATGTTATGCAGTTTTTTTTTCTTGCTCCCACAACCTGACTAGAGAAGTTACCAGAGAAATCCAACAAGATCTAAGAAATCTAAGAAGCCAATCCCAACTACACAATCAACTATGATCATCACTGTCAACAACAACTATAATTAATAAATTATCATCCTCCCCACTAGCATGATGCCACATTTGTTTCTGTGACCAGGATCTGAACTTGTGTTTATCAAGTTCCTGGTGAACTCCATCATTATTTATATTGTCATGTTTGGTTGTCATTAACAAGTTTGACCAAGTGATAAACTAATGAAAACACTCCCACTTCATGATTACTTTGTCATATTTCTTGCTTTGTCCCAGCAAAGAGAATACCACACAAGTTCAAATTATCAGTTTATATTGTGAAATATATTAAACAGGAGTTCAATATATTAAATACATTAATAAGCAGATGTTTAATATATTAATAAGCAAATATTTATATTGTTACATAGTTAACTGACCCCTAAGGATATCCTATAACTGACAATGGATTTTTTTTTTTCCCTATGGACAATATAAACGTTTTTTCTTTTATTCATTTTTTCAGGATGTGGACAATCATAGCTCTCCACAACACCTGGTTTTTGTTGCTCTAAGTAACCCTTATTTTTTTACCATCTCTATTTGCCCATGCTATACATTCACACAAATGTGTTCAACTGATTATCCCCCACCACAATTTCTTTTGCTTTCAATATGTCCTATGAATGTTAAATTTTCCAGGCCCACTTATGTGCTTCAGAAATTTCATGTGTCTCATTCTGATTATAATTTTCTTGTAATACTTAATATACATCAGTATATTTTATAAACAAGAATTCTAAAGGTTAAACACTATCTGTGTTTTATGAATTAATCTCAAACACCTAATCTATGATACAATCAATTTTGGAAAATTTGCAAAATTTATTTAAAAAGTTCAAGGTCAAAAGTGACTAAAAAATTATGCAAACCATACTCATGAGAAAAAAAAAGTGTTATGAAATGCATTTCAATGTCTGCTATTATTGCTCTAATAAAAATTTATACCTCTGCAAAAATATTTCAGTACATGCAGACTAGGTATACTGTAGATTCATTTTGTAAGTTGAATAACAAAAATCAGAAATTTTCAATCAACATGCTCTAAATGCTCATTTGAATGAGTGCATAGTTTATATAATATCCACATCTGTATAGAAATTGAATAAATGACTTAGTAATAGTTTAAACCTGGGAAACCAGGATTTGGATGATTGTAAAAAGAAAGGTGAGAACTAAACACCAATATAAAAATGCAAATATTATTTTAAATATTATAAAATATTTTATTGTTCAAAGATTTTCTTAGAGATACAAAATTTTATTATGTCCATTAAAACAGCCATATTTCATCAAAGTGAGAGGAAAACGAAAAGAAAAAATAAAATTACTATGAACAGAAAATTGAAAAAAGAAAGGGAAAAGTAAAACAACCAAAAGAAACAGCTGATTGGTTTTGCTATCCTCTCTCTTCAGAGCTTGATCAAAGAAATAAAACAAATGTGTACCACAACTAAAAAGGGGAAAATTTACTGATAATAGGATATACACATAAGGGTTATGACATTTTGACTTTTTGTAAAATAATTGGATTTCCTGTATCATAATTTGATGAACTTTTGTTAAAAAATAATAAAGGAGGGTTTAATTCAGTTTTTTTTTTTTTTTTTTTTAAATGTCACCTCAACATGAAATTTCTAAAATTGTATATAAGTATAGTAATACTATGGCTTTCTGGAATATTCTAAAACTTGTTTATCTTTTTTTTTTAATAAATGTAATATTTTAAATGAATAGACAATCTACATTTGAAATCTGATAACCTTACTGTCAGTGAAGTGCTGGGTACCAAACTAATATGTATTATAGGAATACAATAACAGTTTGTGTACAAATGTTTTTTTTGTAATGATGAAATGGTTACACCCATAAAAAAAAATCAAGGAGTCAAAAGGATAATTATTATCCTTGACACTGCTATTTATACACTTTAGACTATCTCAGTAATGCTTATTTTAAAAAGTAATGATTAAAATTTTAATGAAGTAAAAAAATGGATTTATACATTTTCTTTATTTTTTGAGAATTGACAAAGATATTAAACACTATTTATTTATTAAAGTGTTTATTTGCAAAAATAATTTTATATTTACAAGATTATAAAAATATCTGAACCAATTATAATGAAATATTTATTATTTACCATTTTACAAAGAAATAAATAGGAAAAAGAAAATTGTTTTATTCTTAAATTTATAAGAATGTCTGTGAACAAAGAAAATTTAAATGAATATAATGAGTTACTGTGATTATAAATTTTTAAAAAATTAATTTTATGAACATCTTTCATTTGAAAGCATATATTTCTCTTACATATTTTGATAATTTTATAAATGTTTTTAACAAAAAGATTTCTTTCTGAATTTATTTCTTTATAAAATGGTAAATAAACCTTCATAAAAGGTAAATAATAAATATGGCATTGTGCTCGTTTCACATTTTTATAATCTTGTAAATAAACACTGCTGAGGGATTCAAAGGTGTATACAGTAATAGAAGTTTCAAGGGAATAACTCAGTCCTTTTGACACACCATTTTTTGTGGGCACAAAGGTTAAGCATTGCCAAAGAAATACTGTCATCACTATATAAAACAAACTAGATGATTTCTGGTTTGACATCGGTCAAAACCTAGTAACATTTCCAAGATTTGTGTTCAAGTTTTCTTGTAAAGATTATGAATATTAGTTGTGTGACACTATGGACACCCATGTAGAGGAGGAAGGTGAAATTTTATCTTTATCTCGGGTTTCTGTTTTATGGCTAGGAAACGTTTTTTTGAAGTCTGGTCTTCAAAGCACCATCAACTTTACCGAAGGGAAATGAAAGAGTAAAGGAGTGGATAGGGACTTTTGGAAACCAAGTGACAACAAAACCGGAAATAGGGTCTATCCAGGTGTTGGTCTATATTAACAGTCATGTTTGGGATTGGAGAGTCAGTTCTGGTCAATCCTGAGTGGAGAATAGACTTAAATGATTGCAAGTACCTTCTTATACATGCATAGAACATTAAGAGTGGCTGGCAGATATAAATTGAACCAATCTGGTATGACTTCTTTATAAACAAATTAAGTATTTTTTCTGTATTTTTCCATTATCAGATACATTGACAAAAATATCTCAACACTGGTATGCCAAAGGGTGACACTCTTCTATAACTTAGTTGCCCAGGCAATAGCAGTAGAAATGTTGTTAGCTCAATGATAGATAGATTGTTGAAAATTTCTCAACCTGAATAAAAAAAAAAAAAAAAAAAAAAAAAAAAAGAAGAAAAGAAAAAGTGGCCAGGGAGTGGGGAGAGGAGGATCTTGATCTGATTTGGTTAGATTTTATGAAATAGGCCAGACCAAGAACTTCAACATTTTGTGTAATCAGTTTGAACAGAAATCATTATGGTTCTTCCATATTAAAAACACAATTTTACTTTTCAAGAATTTTATTGATCTTTTGGAAGATGGAGGGAGAGTAAAGATTTGGACTTGTTAAAATATTCAACATGTCAAAAAAAGTGAAAAGCAAATAAAGTGCAAATACTAAATTTTACATTCCAGAATTGTCGCAGTAAAATAAAATAGTTTTGCATCAAGTTTCTTTTGAAGACCAAGTTTTTGTATGATGGAAATATACTAGTCAATGGAAAAATTCTTTTATGACTTCACTGATTACTTGATATGTTGTCCCTAGTTATACTAAAGTATGGACCCAGTATTAGATGCCAATATTTAACAGAAATTTGCATTCCTTTCTTCAATAATGTGATAGCTGCTTTACTGATTAAGACAAAGAGCACTGGCTGCAGTTATTCAAATCTGACCAGATAGCTAGTTTTCTTTATCTACAACTGCCTTATACACCTAATTTTTATTTACATGTTTTGGTAGTATGAGCAATAGATATAATTGAAATTTTTGAAATATTGTTTTCAACAGATATCATAATTGAAAAGGTTTATTAAAAAAAAATATGGAGCTGATTGCAACAAAAAAGACTTGTATTAATTTTGCATCTCACCCTTTTTTTTATCCTGTTGACTCTTAACAATAGAAGAGACCCATATATGCACTGATTTATTATGACAGCTGTTGATGACAATATTTCTTTTTATTCATCTACCTATATATCTGCTGGTGCTTCTTTGTTCTCTTAGGTTTAACTCTTTTCCAACTGGCCTTTCTCTTTTTAAGAGAAAATCTTACCACAAATAAAGAAATCAAAGCATACAACAATTTAATGTCATTGATAATTCCTGTCTAAATTTCTAGGATGAAGAGATTTACATCTGAACTAATGTTCTCATCATTGTTGCTGTCACAATATTTCAACCATTGTGCTCTCTAGCCTTCTTCAGGTTAACCTAGGTAGCCTTCAAGAAATTTTGAACTGAAACTTATTTAATCTATGGGAGTAAATTGTTTTCATTCCACTATCCATGACAAGGGATATTTTTTCTCTCTTCTTATTATTTTAGTATGGATTCCAATTAAAAAAACCTTCAGTGAAAGGCTAACTCTAATCACTTTTTATTGGGAAAAATAACAGCTGCTTTACTAATTAGGCTACTGATTACTGTCATTTAAATCTTCCCATGTAGCTATTCTTCATTTTTGCTGATTGTCTAATACACTAACATTTTTTTGATGATCTGAGAATTACAATAAAAAAAGTCAACTAATCTTTAATCATTGAAAAAATATTTTATTTCAATTATGATATCCATTGAAAACAATATTCCAATATTTTAATTATGATATCTACTATAGTAGACAATACACAAAAAAGAAAAGAGGAATTTGAACTTGAAAATTCCCACTCATATTAATAAGTATAAAATGTTTTAGCATAATAAATATATATCATAAATAAAGAGAAAAACACTAAGGAGTAAGAGATGGTATGGCATGTTTTTCCTTCTAATAAAATAGAGAATGGAGAGGATCCTATTTCAATTTTTTTTTTTTATTATTTCAAATTCACCATAGTAGTAGTAATAGTAGTTACTTTCAATCTATTATAGTTTGCATATAAATCACAATCAAATTTCATTTTAATATAAATATTAAGCATTAGGATGAATATTAATCCCATGATGTTTTTTTGCTTGAGTTTTAAGTTAATAAAAGTTTAATAAAAAGTTTGGTTTGACTAAATAAAAGATTCAATCCAATTTTGGTCTTTTGTATATATATATTTTTTAATGCTAAAAGAAAAAAAAGTACTGTCAGAAATCTTTAAAAACTAAATGTACTGTCAGAAATGTTTAAAAACTAAATTACTCATGCTGCTAAAAATGACAGGATATCCTGTCCAGTCCTTAGTGTCATTAGATTTTCATCTGTGAGTCTTTGAAATTTTCTAATTAATATGTAAAAGTAAAGGAAAAGTTTATTACTTATTAACAATAGAAAATCAATCCTCCACTTTATGTTCACTAGAACCTTATATTAATAAGAGTCTACTCATGCTGCCAAAAATGACAGCCTCTTTAAGTCCTTACTTAAACCTTATTAAATGTTTATATGTGCGAGTTGTTAAATATTTTCCCCAATTATTATAATTTATTCCTCTGTGCTCATCTGATACCCATTTTCTTTTGTTTGCAGCCTTTTCTAAATTTCACAGAGATGATCATTTTTTTTTTTGCAGTAGTCATTCAAACTGTCATAACAGACACTGCCACCTGGCTTGCCAGTGTAAGGAAGATCACGATCATCCTTGCACAGGCAAAATTAAAGATTAAAGACACTATAGACAAGAAATATACAAATATATTTAACTTATATAGTAAAATCGAAAAAGACATAGTCATGTCATGTTGAAACACTGGTTTCCATACGATCATCAAAATTAAGCAACGTCAAGCCTGGTGAGTACCTAGATGAGTGACCATTTGGCAATACCAGGTGCTGTTAAATTGGATGTGTGGGGGGGATTTAATGGATCAGAATTGTTAACTGGAGAGTGGAGTTCAAATTACCGCTGGGTTCATTATATTTACTTATGTGCAAATACCCTTGGGAAAGTTATGAATCCATATATCCTCCGCCTAGTCATGAATTAATTAGTAAAACTTGTATCACAAAATCATTATTAATGCAAAAAAAAAAATAAATAAAAAAAAATAAAGTCTTACAATCTAAAAATATTTTTTGGCTTTAAATAACCTGCAAAGGGTTGATAAGAAGTAGAAAATGAATCAATCACCCAAAATAAAGAAAAAAAAAAAAAAAAAAAAAAAAAAAAAAAAATCAGAAAAAAGAATAATTGTCATAGTTCTGTTATTTTTGCAGATAAAAAGGAAATATCAAGTTATTTACTAAAAACAGCTTAAAGTTCTTTTTTCTTATCTCAGCATTTACATCTTATGGTGTTTGGTCACATATAACATGCTTAAGTTTAATTTCCAAAATAAAAATAAACAACCATGTGCGTGCTTGTGTGTGTAACTATATGATATAGTAACAATAATATAAATTTTGTTTACATTCATATATACCTTAATGCAATCAAGACAATAATTCTACATCTTTTCACACAATATTAAAGGGACATGTTTAGCTTCAAACAAGAAGAAAAAGAAAGGTTTTTCCATGAATTACAAAAAGAATAAATTTTAACAGAAAATATGGACTCATGGAAGTGGTACAGAAATGAACAAAGAAATGTCTGAAAACTTAGAATTCTAAGTGTAGTAGGCAAGCAGGCAACATTCTGTGACATGATACCCAATTTCCAAATGGTAGTAAATTTTCTTTGTGTTGCTTCTAGCAAAATATTTTTCTTAATAATAAATAAAAATAAAAAACTAAAATAAATCAGTCAACTTGATTTTCAGTTAAGTTTCTTTTTTTTTTTTTTTTTTTCCAGACAGCTGAATAAAACTGAAATAAGAAAGTGAAAGAAGTTTGATGCCTTTACCTGTACTACTCAGTCGTGCTTCTTCAGTCTGCTTGGCCAAACGTTTTTCTATTTTCTCACGCTCCTTCTTCAACTGACGTTCCCTTTGCTTCTCCAAGTAGCGTTCATATTTCCTCTTCTCTTTCTCTTGCATTTGTCGAGCTATTTCCTGAAGAAGCAAAAAATTCAGAAAAATATATTCAATAAAAGAATTAGATTTTTTTTTTTTTATTTGCAATATACCGAAAAAATATTGCAACTTGTAGCATCATAAAATACAAAATTAAGTAGAATTATTAGTATTCTTTTTATATATCTTGTGTATATCCACAATATTTTTTAATTAAACTAAATTATTGAAGCATCTTGAAAGTTCTCTGATGAAGTGATTTCAGGTAAGTGTTGTGAACAACTCAGTCTTAGGCAAATCTCATACTAGAATTTTATTTTAAAAGTATTTTATATACAGTTATTTAAAATAAACTATTCTATAATATAAAATGCGTTGTGACCTCACTATAATATATAATGCAATGAGACTTTATATCTTGATCTCCCTAATTTGAGATCAAGATATATTATTAGAATAACAAGAGGCATTACTTGGTATCAAGAAGTGAACATAAAATTAGATATTCTGATAAGACATAGTAAGGACATCAGGCTGCTAATACATTTTTTGTGTTAGTTTTCTTTGTATATTTTTACTTTTCATGGATTTAAAAATCAAAATTATTTCTTATATGCAATGATCGTTAATTATAAAAAGAAGAAGCAAGGAATACACCTATATAAAATATAAACAATATAAACAATGCATTTGCATTTTTTTTTTTTGTGAGTATGAGTAAATTTGTAAAAAAAATAATTTACAATGAAAGTCCAAAATCTAAGACTTGTTCACTGAACTGAATTTTAAAATAAGTTTAAGAAATTAATATTCAAATGGTTATAAAAAAAAACAAAATATTAAAATAAAATAAAAAATAAGTAGGAAAAAGTTAGGAGGTAAAAAGCAAGTTTAAAAACAAAATTAGGTATCTGATGTCATCAGCAAATACTGAAATCATTTGTCTTCGATGTGCTGTGTCCCTTCATGATGTGAGTGATCATGGCTATCCACAACTTCCCATTACTTATCGCTCTCAGTAATGCATGTCTTCTTACCTCCCTCCCATTCCCTGTTCTGCCGTTCCATTTACATAAACTCATTAAATATGTTACTGTTTCCTCCTGCCCCTCAATATTTTCTATGAAACTTAAATTTTCTAACACTTCTTTCCTCATCATGTGCCCTAGAAATTTCAATTTTCTCTAAGTCCTTTTTGTCTTTCAATTTTCCTGGTGCAATCTGTTATGCCCCCTCACCCACTCTACTACATCCCAATTTTCCTAAGGTTGTCTTCATATAAAATACATATTTTATTGCAACCTAATTATGTACAGTAAGGGATCATATACAATATATGTGAACAATTCAATTGGAAAAATTGAAAATAAATACAATGTATCTAAATAGAAATTAGAGACATGTCATAATAGATCATACCATCTTATATAAATCAGCAATGTTTTTTTTTAACATCAACTTCAGATTTTTATTGTTACAAAGTTGAATAAGCTTAACACATTCAATATTATGGATGAAAAATAGTGAGTTTTATAGAATTTTTTCAAGACTTAGAATGAGCAAAAGAAATTCACAGAATGGTGTCAAAATCTATGAAAAATGTCCCTCCTTTAATATTCAGTTGAGCTTAGTTTAATTTACAACTTATATAAATGTAGGTAGAAAAAAAGCAAATGTTGATAAGATATTTTTATAACCTCATAAAATTAGTTTATGAACCAGTAACAAAATTTTACCAAACAATTTTAGTATTCATTTAAATACAGGTGGGTGGTGGAAATTTTTTCTATGTGAAAGTGGGTGATGACACAAAAAAGTTGACAACCACTGATATAGATAAGAAAAATATAAGTAATTTGATGAATGCTGAATAAATAACTGTGAAAGGTAACATTACAAAAGCCAAAGACAACTAGTTTAACTTCCATTAAATTGTTTATGCAAACTTACTCATGCAGGATATAACATATTCATATCTTTCATGAAAATGTATTAATATTGGCCTTGAAATTTCTCTTTAATGAACTATCTGTCCAATTCACAGCATAAAACTAACAATGTCCTTTGATTTTGTTTTGCTCTCTTAGAGTGGCTGAGATAAATTGTTTGCATTTCAATTCATTAATGCTCAGTAAACATTTCAGAAATATGATCTTGTGCCAAAACAAAGAATTCAAATGAATCCTTTTGGTTTTATGTACTCTCTTTTGTCTGTTTAAGTTAAACGTGATAAATGCAATAAAAGTAACATTATATATGTGTGTGTAGTATAGTGGTTATTAGTATAGGAAGTGGGATTGGCATGCCAAAGTCATTAGGTTCACTTTCATAAAAATATTTTTAGGAAAGGTATAAATCCATTTCTTCTCCTTCCCAAATATAGATTAAATAGCAGAGTAGATTGGCTGGAAGGTGATGGTATTTATCAATCCACCCACGGGGACCGAATGTGGCACAAGGCCTTTTTAATGTGGGTATGTCTGAGCCCGTAGGCCCAGCCAAAAATAAAACCCATCTAAACCCGTCCAAAGCGGGCTAGTTCAAATCAACCTCCCGAGCGAAACCCCACCCTCCGGGCGGAGCTTCGTCGAGTTCCTCTCTGCAAGCAGAGAGTTCGACAGACACCCGACCCGGCAGCTCACAAAGCGCAGATACTACACTTTGATCCTAGCCACCGGGCCGAGCGGGTATTCTTTTTATCGATACTGGATATCGATATTGGCTGGAAGGTGATTCAGTATACCATTCATCTACGTTCCAGATTTGTATAGGTTTTACTTTTTTTTAGCCTTCAAAAATGCAGGGATTTTAATTTAGAGCATTTCCTTCTAGACTGACTCCCAACCAAAGCAAGAGAGCTAAGTTTGACCTATTTAACCCATAGCAGGAGGAAAATAGATTCATGGTTGACTTCAAAGAGAAGGAAAAATGAATTTAAATCTGAGGAGTGCTGTTTAAATTCATAGAATACTGTGCATTTCTTTATCATCAGTTCTTCTGAAAAATGTGGTTGGTTCTACACAATATTTCACCATTATAATCAAATCATGTATGGGTAGTCTGTTTAGTTTTATAAAAAAGTCAACTGTTGAATAATCAAGGGGGCTGCAGTCTGGAGAGTTAGGTGGCCAGATGTAAGTGGTGATATAGTTGCAGAAATTATCTGATAGCCATGATTGGGTTCTCCTGCTTGTGTGGCATGGTGCAGAGTCTTGTTGCCCGACATGGGCTTTCAGCAGCCACTCTTCTTGACCCAGGGCAGCACTACCTACACAACTCTTGAGACCCTGTGGAAAGATGAATGGAAGCATAACGTCGCCATCATTAGTGATCACTCCAAACACCTTCATAATATCCATTAGACTCATCTAACTCTTTCCCAACCATTTGCACTGACCTCAGATTGTCACACAAACACTGAAAGGTTTGTTTTGGAGCCTCTGCTAAGCAGTATGGTTTCCAAATTTCTGGCAGAGTTAATTGTCAGAGCTCTTTTTCTTACAGATGGTAGACCCTACTATACTGTGCAGTTGACAAAAACAACATGCATGCACAAAATTAAAAATATAAAATGGCGACAATTTACCCATTGCACCCTGTATTATATATATATAAAGAAAAAGACGAGAAAAGCTGTAAGTAGTTTTAAATGATGCATTTCATCTATTGTGACTTTATCAAGGCAAAAAACAAAATGAATTTATTTGAACAAAGTAAAAACTATAAACTAAAAACAAAATGTTGTTAGTTACTAGAATTTAGAAACATATATTCATTAGGTCAACTAAAAAATTACATCATTTACTTATCTTTGAAGAGAATTTTTCATATGTACAAATATTGTTTGGATTGTTGTGATGACAGATTCAGTCATTTTCTTTTAATTTCTTGATATATTTGTTGCATATGTTGGCTTGAGAGAGTAGTGATTTTATAAGGAAAGGTGAGTTTGGGGAAAAAAAACAGGCTTAAAATTAATATCTAGATCATGTTCAATGGTGGCACTCTTGAGGATTTTCTTTCCAAGTGACTATTCTTTTTTAATGAGTGTAGCATTTTTAAAATCAAAATTGTGATTGAATTTATTTCTATGTATGACCAGTGTATTTGTCAAATTGTTATTTACGAGGCCCCTTTTGTGTTCTTAGATGTGTTTTTTTTCAACTTCCTGCATGTTTCTCCAATATATTGTGAGGAACAGTTTTAGCATTTTATATATGCCTGCTTTTGAAATAGTATTGTTATGGATGTTTCTAGATCCGATTATATCCATAATATTTTTTTGCCTTGATAAAGTCTGCAGTGGATAAAATGTGTCAGCTAAAAAACAGTTTTTCTTTTGTCTTTTTCCTTTATGCATATTGTTTTTAAAGATAGTTTTTCTTATATATATATTTGTACAGAAGAAAAAAAACAACCAAGTTGGTGTGACCAACAGACAATTTACCAGAAAACCTAACAAGAAAAAAATCTTAACAAGGGAAGACAAAAGGAAGACCATAAGGCAAACACTTACCTACTCAGTAAAGGTGATCAATAATCAGATTATCTATACAGAGCAAAAAAAAAAAAAAACACTCCCCAACATAAACACTTTAACAAAGGAGAGTCTGAGTCATTATTAATGCTTTATGCTTTTGTGATGTTCAGACAAATATATATTTTATAATAATAATACCAAAATCTGCAACTCCGTTTCATTTAATAATCATCAGGCATGATACTATCTCTCAGTTTATTGTATATTTTAAGCTTCAGTTTTTACTCTTATTGTGTATGTGTGTGTATGAGAGAGAGATCATAGAGACAGTTTTAGGTGATTTTGCAAATGAAAAATCATTATTATACTACACTTTTTCTTTGATCTACAAATAACTTTTCTGGTGCTTTTGACAATTGGATGGCTCATTACACACACAAAGACATTCTCTAGACTAGGAAAATAGTTTAAATAGAGAAAAACAAAATAAAAAAAAGAAATGTTTAGTGGTATTTTCAAGAAGAATCTTGGAATTTTTCCCATGTATCCCTTTGAGAAT